ATAGCCAATGCACAACTGTCTACATGTAATGTCCCGCTCGAAAACCAAACCAATATTGAGCGTACCTCGAATGTACCTCAAAATCCATCTCACGACGTCCCAATGACCCACTCCTGGATCATGCATATATCTCAAAACCATGCTCACCGCCTGTGACAAGTCTGATCTCGTACATATCATCGCGTACATCAAGCTTCCAACCGCACTCGCATATGGAGTCTTCGACATCAACTCTCGATCTTCAACTGTCTTCAATGAAAGATCAGTTGAAAGCTTTAAATAGGCTCCCAATGGTACACTAACTGGCTTCGTATCCATACTAACATGAAATCGCTGTAGAACCTTCTTCAAATAAGAAACCTGTGTCAAACAAATTCTGTCATTCTTCTTGTCTCTGCCAATCTCCATCCCTAAAATACGCTTCTTCTCACCCAAATCCTTCATCTCAAACTCCTTTGAAAGTTGTGCCTTCAGCTCATCTATAGCAGATATGAAAATAGAGGCAACCAACATCTCATCGACATAACGTAATAAATAGATATACGCACCTCCTTTCAACTTGCGAATATATACGTAATGATCAAACTGGCTCCGAGTGTACAAATGACCAATCATAAAACTATCGAATCGCCTATACCACTGTCGAGGAGACTGCTTCAAACCGTATAGCAATTTCTTTAATCCGCAAACCAATTTTTCTTTCTCTATAGCTCAGAATCCGAATGGCTGAGTCATATATATTTTTGCATCAAGATCACCATGAAGAAATATCGTCTTCACATCCAACTGATCTAACTCTAAACCATACTGTGCCATCAAAGCTAGCAAAATCTGAATCGAAGAGTGCTTCACAACCGGAGAGAAAACCTCATTATAGTTAATACCTTCCTTCTGTGCATAGCCCTTCGCAACCAACCTAGCCTTGAACCTCAATGGAGTACCTTTAATGCCCTCCTTCTTCGTGTATACCCACTTGCAAGCAATTGCCTTACGCTCCTTTGGAAGCTCAACAAGCTCCCACGTATCATTCTTGTGAAGAGACTCCATCTCCTCCTGCATAGCTACCTGCCACGAATCAGCCTTCGAACTATGCTTGGTCTCTCTGAATGTAGTAGGCACCATCTCATCGATACTCTCAATCAGAAGTGCATACGCAACTGTGTCGGTATACCGTGCTGGCATTCATATGTCTCTCCTCTATCTCCCAACCGTAATAGAATCCTGAACCTGAGCCGTCGGTCCCTGATCCTGTACAATTGTACTCGTATCCTCCTCGTCGTCGTGGTGCTCACCTGATGTCACCTAAGTCGGCATTCTAATAGATATTATACCATCTGGACAATGTGGAGCTGTATCGATCTCCACCACCTGCGATATCTCCTCTGTCGGGTCGCTCTCCACCTGATGAGAGCTGGGAAGCTTTAAGATAGAATCCTCATCGAATGTGACGTCCCTACTCAGCACAATCTTTCTATCAACTGGATCGCATAGCTTGTATCCCTTGACACCACACTTGAATCCTACAAATATAGCATTCCTAGCTCGAGGTTCCAATTTATCTATTCTCACATGATAAAATGCTGGGCACCCAAATACCTTGAGCTGGTCATAATCATGTGATGGCTCTCCTGACCACATCTCCATAGGGGTTTTCCCCTCAATCATAGATGAAAGCAGCCTGTTAATAAGGCGACTCGCATATGTAAGTGCCTCAGCCCAAAAGATCTTCTCCAAACCACTCAGCGATAATAAACATTGGATCTTCTCCAGTAAAGACCGATTTAACCTCTCTATCACCCCATTCTGCTACGGTGTATGACTAACCGTGAAGTGTCTCTCTATGTCCTCGTCTCGATATAGCTACTGAAAGGGGTCTGAAGTATATTCATCATCATTATCGGATCACAACGTCTTGATCTTTCTCTCAGTCTGTAGTTCTAATCTCTTCTTCTACTCCACAAACAAATCTAGGACTTTATTCTTATGCTTCATGATGTACACCTAACAACACCTAGAATAGTCATCAACGAACGTGACGAACTAATATCGACCACCAAGTGATGCAGTCTTGATGGACCCCAAACATCTGTGTTCACGTAGTCCATGATGCCCCTCGTCCTATGAATGACCGTCCCGAACTTTACCTTTGTCTTCTTGCCAAGAACACAGTGCTCACATAATTTTTCTATACCACTCTTGGCTCCCTTCAATAGCCCCTGCTTGCACAGCACCTATAGTGACTTCTCGCCTGTGTGCCCTAACTTGTAATACCAAAGTCTGCTCATGTCCGCTTCTAAAATAGCCGAAGCAACCTGGCCAATCTCGGTGCTCCCTTTCATATAGTATAAATTTCGACTGCAGACTTCCTTTATCACCATCAAAGATCCCTTAGTAACCTTCGCTATAGAATTTTCAAAGGTCACCTTGAATCCCTTCGCCTCTAAAGCTCCAACTGAGATAAGATTCTTCTTCAGCTGAGGAACGAATCTCACCTCCTTCAATTCACGCCTCTAAAGCTCCAACTGAGATAAGATTCTTCTTCAGCTGAGGAACGAATCTCACCTCCTTCAATTCACAGACTACTCCATCGTTCTTCAGCTGAGGAACGAATCTCACCTCCTTCAATTCACAGACTACTCCATCGTGCATCCGAATCCGCATGGTACCTATCCCATAAATGCCACAGGATTGATCATTTCCAATGACAACACCCTCATCGAGCTTCTCAAAAGATGCAAATCAATCTCGCCTAGGGGTCACATGATAGGTAGCATTGGAATCAAGCATTCAATCTGATGCATCCAAGTGGTTCACCTCCGGAGTAAACAATAGAGAAAAGCTCGAATCATCGGAATCATCGTCTTTCACAATGTTCACCTCATTGGCCTTCGGGCCCTTTTTCTTGCTATTCTCCTTCTCTTTGATTTTTGGACAATCTCTTTTCCAATGTCTATGCCCCTTGTAGAATGCACATTGGTTCTTTCCTAGCTGGTGATGACCTCTTGACTTTGACCTTTCTCTATTATCATCTTTCGGATATGGACTTCTACCTCTTGTCGACAAGGCCTCGCCTGAAGTACTAGCACGGGAAGTCTCATTGTCTTTCCTCCTCAAATCATAATTTGTCAATGCATTAGTAACTTCACTATAGCTGATAGAAGATCTCTCATTTATCAAAGTGAGCACAAAGGTGTCATACTCTTCATCCGGTAAGGAGCCTAATAAGATAATAGCCTTATACTCATCCGATATCTTCTTATCAACATTTGTCAAGTCCGACAACAACTTTGTATAATTGTTCACATAAGCTGCAAGCGAGGTACCTCTAGACATCTAAAATCTGAATAACCTACACAGTAAATACAACCTATTCTCAATACTCTTCGTAAGGTACTTATTGTTGAAAATTTCCCACATCTTCATCGCAGACGTTACCCCAATCACATCATACTTCAGCTCCTGTTCCAAACATGACCTGATCACCCCACAAGCATTCCTATTTATCTTTTCTCATATCGTCTCTTTATATTTTGGTGGTCTCTTATGGACCATGATGGTCTCCTCCAAGTTCTGAGCATTGAGCGCATCCTGTACGTCGCTCATCCACAAACCAAAGTTGATTTTACCGTCATATTTTACCACACTAATTTTTATGTTCTAAAAACCAATTTGAACTATACTCACCATCGACTTGTTGCTTTCACATTCTTCTCTAATTGTAAACTAACTCCAAGTTATAGAGAAAGAATCAAACTTTGATAGAAATTAAGAATTATCCAACTGAACCCTAGATCGGATTCCAAATAGATCTCCTGTCCACATGAGGAAAGCGAAATCTCTAACGGCAACTTCTAATGCTATCTCCACCGAAGCCTAGAACTCCAAGAACTACGCTTCACACACGAATCTTTCTCCACCTAATTCCAAAACCTTAGATCTGAAACCTGGGCTCTGATACCACTTGTTGCGCGCAGCGAAAATTTCGGCAGCATCTCGGTGCAATAACAAGAGAGTCAGTCGCAATAGGAATTCCTGTTTCACCAAGGAAACAAGAATCTTAAGCAAAATATCTCAACAAAGTGGGATATCAGCTCTTCCTCTCATCAGTTCTAGGACTGACCTGTTGAGGGAACCTAAGTAAGCTATTATAAATCACACAAATAGCGAGACAACCAATTTTACGTAGTTCGCCAAATTGCCTACGTCCACGGGGAGAGGATGTGGGAGATTCTACTAAATTAAGGAGAGTACAAAGGGTTACAATCTCACATAACTCACAAACTAACCCTCAACCAAAGCTCTCAACTTGCTCACAATATCTCTCTCTCACAATGCTCAAAAGTCTCTCTAATCTTTGATTACAACTCTCCTCTTTTTGATGATTCTAATCTCTTCTAAGGCGTTCCATATATATAGAAAACCTAAAACCAAAACAGACTAGGAATCCTAAAACCAAAAACAAAACAAATTAGGAATCCTAATAACCTGTTACCAAAGCAGATTAGGAATCCTAATAACCTCATGTTACCAAAATAGATTAGGAACCTGCAATCCATAGGAATACTGCTATCCAACAGTGAAAACTTCAAAAGGAAATAATAGAAGTTTGTGCACATGGAATTTTTTCCTCCTTTTGTTTTCATATAATCAGTATGGTTGAATAGAATAGTAAAGTTTACTAATAATGATTTCGTGGACTAACTCGAGAAAAATTAAATGCATTCGGGTTGACTTCACATACTTACCTAATACGGTTTGAATATGACGCTGATGTGATACTTACTTTATTCATGTTTATTTACTATCACAAATATGGATACAAATGTCAATGTGTATTGGTAAGAAAAACTTATATACGTGCTTATCCAATTCGAATATGTGTATACTTTGAGTCTGCGAGCCCGTCGGTATAATGTAAGTTGTGAGACGCACGGGGTGTAACATTATAACTTTCTAGTATGTCACCGTTTAATTGTATTGTTGTTTGGCTAATGCCCAAACCCTACCTCCGCGACTCAAGATTCACTCCGGCGTCCAGCTTCTCCTCATCGCCTAATTCGTCGCCGTCGCCAGGTCTTAAACCGATCCCGTACTCGATCTCGGGGAGAGAGGCGAAAGTGTAGCTGACACACTTACCCATATAGACTCTGATTTTGATTCTATAGTTGCTTTGCTGATAAATGGCTTGGCTGAGGCTGTGGTCCTTATATACCTCCTGTGGCCGACGTTCAGCCAGCTTTCCAGGGAAAACCTTGTGCCATCCTTGCTTCAAGTGATCACGAACAAAGGTGAAAAGATGGATGATTTTCAGCTGATAATGGAACCCAAGGATGCAGCAATAGCAATTCTGGAGCAGATTCTATTAGGAGGAGATGAGAATAGTCGTTCGGTCAATGCTTCAAGTGTTGTCACAGCAAATGGGATTCCTGCTCTATTAAATTGCCTGAATCAAATGGATGGGAGACTTTCCATCGTGTCTATACTTTTAAGTTGCATGCGTTCTGATAGAAGATGTAGAAAACTGATAGCAAATAGAACCGAGCTGCTCCCCGTGCTTGAGCTATTTCATGCTGGAGATGATAGCACAAGGAGCATATGCATTGATTTTATCTCAGAGTTTGTTTATTTGAACAGGTATGTCTTTTGTATTTTGGGTACTTTGACAATCTTGTTTCTTTTTCTTTGTTCATCATACTGCTGCTCTGGGATAAGAGCTCTTGCATTAGTTTCTTTGATAAAATCTAGAGCTGTTGGGAGTTCTGTTTTATGTGTTTTCCTAAGGTTCACTTTATGCTACGTTTGATGACATCTAATTGATTTGATGCCTGGGAAAGTGGATGAAGGAACTCGTGGTTCGATAGGTTTTCAAGACATTGCAGAAAACTTCAGCCACAGTTCTACATGCATGGATGACTGGGATTGGGATGAAATTGATCTATAAGATGATAAGTCTGATTCAGTTATGCTTTTCATATGAGGTTATGTAAAGCATTATGGGGCTGTCTACATACTTGTGATTAATGTTAGAGGTGTTGTACTTGACAAGGATGGCCAAATGGATCAACAACTGATCCGCTGGCCGTATTTATTCTGAAAAAGTGCCACACCAACTTGTGTCCACTAACAATTCATATTTAACCTACTAATTCATTGCAAATGTATTTCTGTTTTCGTCTTAAGTTGCTTTTCCTTAGCATTTTCTATTTTCTGCTTCAGGAGAACATTCTGCAATCGAGTTTTGCAGATGATTAAAGATGAAGGAGCATTTAGTACAATGCACAGTTTGCTCGTCTACCTTCAGATGGCTCCAATGGAGAAGCAGGTTGCAGTTGCTAGTCTTCTTCTTCAGCTTGATCTTCTGGTATGTCTTCATAAAGGCTATATTAGTTAGAATATAAGAATTCTGATCTATTAATCTCGGCATAGTTAATCTAAGCAAACATAAAATGCAGGTTGAACCTCGAAAAATGAGTATTTAAAGAGGAGTACCTTTGGTTCTTTCAAAAGGTCGACTTTTTAGTAGCCTGGATGGGACTATCAAGGTAAAATTCAAACACCTTACCAGTACCTTGCGCAGACTTGAACTAAGATAATATGCTGTACTTCCCATGTAATTATAGGATTTTTAACTAGCGGAATACCAACAGATATAATTTGATAGACTTTGAAGGTGGTGAATATGTTTCAGAAAGAGGAGTTTCCTGTTAATAACCTCTATGTATTTTTGTCTAGGTGTGGGATGCTGGAAGGAGGGGTTTGAGATCAGTTCAGGAAATCGAAGAGGATGTAGCTTTTGCGGATTCACCAGATCCTCACAGGCCCGCAAAGGATGTAGCTTTTGCTGTTGCTCGATTTTTCCAAAGAGGAGGAATTGTGCGTAATGTTGTGCGATGGAGCATACAAAACCTTTTGTAAATAATTTATGTAAAAGTTTATAAATAATTTATGTATCTCTCTACTATTTTGGTGAATGTATTAGTTGAATATAATGGGATTTGATATTGGAATATAATTAAATTGTGTTGGATATGAATATAATTTTTTTTTGTTCAATATTGTGTACATGCACCCAAAGTAGATTTTGCAAAAAAAAAAAAAACTGTAGCATAGTATCGTAGACGGAAATTCCGTCTAGGATGCTCAAATTCCGTCTAGGATGACCTTTTTAACAAAAAAATAAATAAAAAATAGAAAACATCAAATTCCGTCTAGAATGAGTATTCTAGACGGAAATTTCCGTCTAGAATACTTATTCTAGACGGAATTTTTTCCCGTCTAGGATGAATTATTCTAGACGGAAATTCCGTCTACGATAATCCGTCTAGGATGTATTCTAGACGGTTTTGAATTCCGTCTAGAATATTCCGTCTAGGATGTATTCTAGACGGAATTTCCGTCTAGAATACTACATCCTAGACGGAAACATACTAGACGCGTATTCTAGACGAAATTCTATCTAGAATAAGCATTCTAGACGGAATTCTGGGTATCCTAGACGGAATTTTCCGTCTAGGATACCTCATTATTTAGTAGTGGATTGTGTAACTAAGATGTTAACCTTTGTTAGCTAAAATGATGTTAGTCATTATCAAAGCACCCGTTAAACTCCTATTGCCTAGCTAGAATAAAATGTCATCAGCGACCATGAGTCCACAGTTTTACATCAGACTTAAAATCCGGGCCCCGATTCTCTGCAGCACACTCTTAGTACAGCCTAAAGTTTCCAAGTTTAACAAAATGTAGCTAGCAAAAAGACATAAAACCCACTAGTAAAAAACAGAGCATTGCAACGGGGAAATCCATCGCCAATACACATTCGTGACGCCCGACAGCCCATCGGTAATAAGTCTATCGTGAATTAACATTGGCGGAGGGGTTGTCCGTCGCCAATGAGTATTGGCGACGGAATCCTATCGGCGACAGGCAGAATTGGCAACGGATTAATTCCGTCGCCAATGGACATAGGCAATGGACAGCTAGCGTCCGTCACCGCTAGGCAAGGGTGACAGGTTAGTACCATCATCCGTATGGTCCATCGCCATTGCACATTGGTGACAGAAAGTCCCGTCACAAATGTATATAAATCTGCAAAAAAATCCCCGCATTGGCGGAGCGGAGGCTGCGAGGGGGGCGATGAGGCTCGGGGGCGCATACAGGAGCAGAAAGGATAAGGAGGCAGCAGGTTTGAGATGGAGCAGAAAACATCGGTCAGGGGTAGGGTTTTGGTTCAATTTTTTTGAGGGTGGGCCCCTCATTGGCGACAAATCGGCCCTCATAATATTATTTACTCAGTGTTTCTTCAAACTTAAACATACTATTATTCTAGCTTCTAACTTACACTGGATCAAGAGTTGCACAAAAGATTTTCTATTTCTATTGAATTGATTGTTAATATTGAAGACAATAATAACCTACACGCACCACGGACCATCTGTAGAAAGCGAAAAGAAAACAGGGAACCTGCATATGTTTGGATGGACACGAACCAGTTAACTCAGTTAACAACAAATCTACTAATTAAGCATTTACAATAAATTGAGAAGTACTTAATGCATGCGTATCTAAAAGCCACCTGGAGTTTTGGCAATAAGAGCTCATTATCTAAGTGGTCGTCGTCGTCACCCAGTAACATATAACCAGTAATGATTCATTTCCATTTCTCATTCCTAACGTATCAAAATCTTACATTTAAAAAAAAAACCCTGACTTAACAATAATTAAAAAAGCACTTACTATTATTTGTCATCTTTTTCGGCTTTCTCTTCCTCCTAACTTCTCTCCGAGACCCAGGTTCTTCTTCGTCAGAATCCTCAGATTCCGCTTCAATCTTGTCTCTCTCACCAGGAATATTGACACGTTCCTCGCTACAGCAAGTAGTCCCATAAATAATCACATCAAACCCGAAGTCGCCATCGTAGAAAAAAACTAAGAAATCCCCTTCAGTAACGGAGCTCGCAGAGACGAACCTCTCCCATCCATCGCGAAAGTAGAGATTCCCACCAACAATGCCCAACTTGATCCTCCATCGCCGGCCTTGGGAGCTCCGGATGACCACCGGTCTCTGCGTGATTGTTTCTCCCAGGTGCTTCTTGAATTCTGGTGGGATTCTCTGGGAAATTGATGATGAAAAAATCATTTAAAAAAAAGGACGAAGACCAGAGAATCACGAGGAAATGAGCCCAGGGCTTACCAATGAGCATGTGAAATCCCCAATCATCACCTTGAAGAATGAAGGGCGGTCCAATATTGACATTGACTTGGGGTTACCCATTTGATCAATATATAGCAGAGCTCTAGAAAATGTTGTTGTTGTTGTTGCTGCTGCTGCTGTTGAAGCTGGGGATGTTTGTGAGTCCAAGAAATTGCTTCGCCTTGTTCTTTTAACTTGGCAGTTTGAAAGGGCTCTGGAGTGTACGTAGTCGAAAAAGTCTGGGTGCTTATATTAATTACTTATTATGTGGTTAGTCTGAGGGAGTTAATGAAGGTGATGGTACTCATGAGGGTTGTGCTTCCCGCCATTTTATGTGGTACGTAACGGCCGGGTGCTGAGCGGGACTTGCGGCCAGTAAATTTTCCTTTTATGAAGATTTATGTTCGTCGAGTACTGTTTATTTATTTTGGAGTAAAATTGCCTGGGAAAAGTTAATACCCAGCTCCCAACCGCCAACCAACCAGAAAACGGCCACCGGGCCGTTTCAGGTTGGGTAAACTTTGACCCGACCGGTTTAATTAAGCTCGACCTCAACCTGATCCAAGTAATAAACTGGTCAGTGTTTCTTCAAACTGAAAGCATTAGTATCCCAACATAGACTGTCATTAGGGCAAAAAAATAATAAAATAAAACGGGTAGCAAGCAAGAGATGTCTCGTAGCTAATGAGAACTTGAAGTAATGCAATGCAGGAGAACAATGATAACAATCCAATAACCTCCGTGAAAGTGGGAAAGGGCGCCATATATAAGATTGGAGAGTTTTAGGCTAAATGCGGTATTCTCCTTTGTCTTCGATTATGACAAAGGGATCAATGAACCACAGAGAATCTATGGGGCTGGAGTATCGGAGAAAGAGAGCGTAAGTAATGGGTTTTTGGACGAACTGGGTTAAATGGGTCAAACGGTTACTGTTTTGGAATATATGATATCTTCCTCCTAGGATTTGTTGGTTTCGAGAGTGTAGACCCATAGACCCAAACCTGGATCAAAATCAACAATTCTGGAAAACTCAGCATCGGTCGACCGACACACATGGATCGGTCGACCGAATCGACTGCAGGAAACTGAGCAGAAAAACCCGCTCTGGTCGGTCGACCGAAGCAATGGTCCCGGTCGACTGAAAACGTGCACAAGAAACCCTGTAGAAAACAGAGTTCTGGACGGTTGACCGAAACAATACTATCGGTCGACCGACGGCGATCAACCAGTCAACCGATGCGATGCTATCGGTCGACCGAAGTCGGGTCAGGCGGTTTCCTATAGTTCGGGTTGGAATATGTTTTTGAGTTGTGTATATATATGTTTCCTAAAACGTTTTAGGGTTATGTGAGGACGTCTTTGAGAGGGTTTTGACGGCACTTTGAGATCAGAGATCTTAAAGAGAGTGTGGCTGTAAGACCCCGTTGATTTTGATAATTCATATATGTGAATATTAGTGAAACGCAATATTTAATATATGATAAAATATCTGGCATGGTTGTACATGAAAACTAGTGTTTTGAGTTTATGAGGATGTGGATATGCCTCAGGTATGAGGTTGAGTTGCAAATTTGCAAATCGTGTGCAACAGAAATCGAAGAATGCAGTTTTTAGTCCATGAATCGACCCATGACTGTCATGAGTCGACTCACGACATCGAGTCCTGTTGCCATTTAGTTTCTGCTGAGTCGACTCATGAATTATGAGTCGACCCATGACCCATGAGTCGACCCATAATATACCATGAGTCGACACATCATGGATTTTTGGCTTTTCTCAGTTCGGGTCTGTTGGGTTTCGAGTCGGGTTCTATCTACTCATATATATTTCCCTCCACCCGAAAACACTCTTTTTCATCAGCAAACCCTAGAGAAACCCTAGCCTCCTCTCCCCCTCTAAACCCTAGCTCGTGTTTGGGTATTCTTGGGCGATTTTTGGAGATTTTTAGCAACTCTTTGTGGATTGCAGCGAAGGGGATTGTTCATCATCACATCTGAGGCGAGTAACATCTCGCCCAATCCTTCTCCCATGTTTTTAATAGTTTACAAATGTTTTTCATGAGTTTTATTGAGCCTAAGACTTATTTTCAAGTATAAATCAATGTTCTTATTAGGGTGAATGCTAGAAATCATGTGTTTCAGATTTTAAATCCTCACCAACGAGTTTTTGAAGAAAACCCAGATCTGGAAATATTTTTAAGGAATAAAAATATGAGTTTTCTTTTTGGTTAAATGCCTTTTTCATGTTTAGGGGTTAATTGTTAGATTTAACATATAAGTATTTGATTTTCACGTTAGATATAAATTTCTCACTGTATCATAGTCTAGAATTGATAGCTATCGAGATGTAGATCAGTATAATGGAAGGATGGATCGAGTTAGCGAATTTAACTTGTGATATATGTAGATTTAAGCCTGTAAGTCGACTCACGACTTATCACGAGTCGACTCATCAGGTTGAGTCGACCCATGACTGTTATGAGTCGACTCACGAAGAAATTTTTCCTGTTATCTTAAGTTTCTGCTAAGTCGACTCGTATCGGATCATGAGTCGACCCATGATACATGAGTCGACCCATGAATGAGCACGAGTCGACTCATCACAGTATTTCCTGTTTCGGTTGTGTTTCTGTTTAATCATCTGCTGTATACATATATATATACATATATACAGTGTATATATATATATGATCGAGGGTACTGTCTACTATTCTTGAACTTGCGGTGTTGCCTTGTTTATCGGATATTAAATTTGCAGTAAATCTTGTTTTCATCTGTGCATGTAAGATGACATTTGTGGCATAGGTTTAGATCAGCACAGCAGGGCATGTACAAGAATAGGGTAGGTATATCTTTCTATGCACAGTCCTCGTGTTAGAGTATAATCCATTTCAAGTCCTCGTGTTGGGCTATAATCCATTAGAGTCCTCATGTTGGACTATAATCCATTTCAAACATGTTTTAGACTTTTGCTAAACCTTGAGCACGTTATTCAACCAAGTTGGGTACACGACATATTGTATTAGGCTGGGGCATGATAGCTGCCTATGTCATACATGACACCAATTGTAGCTTCGTTTTATTTTCATTTTATCGGTAGAGATGGGTATGTATTCTTTTCTTTATTGTTCTTGTGACCAACTTCGGGTTTTGTATTTAGGGATCTACAATTTGAGATACAAGGTATATACATGAGGGTTTCCTTGTTTGGATTATTTCGCTCGACGTACCTATGCTCGTGTTGTATTTCCCTAAGTACTAAAACCCATTAATGTTTGTGTAAATGATTTATATTATTATGTATTAACTGTATTTTCATATACAACGAGCCCTATCCCTTGGGGTTGGTTGTGATGTTGCTCGCTAGCGCTTTGACGCTCATTGTCCCTCCCCCTTTCAGGTAACGAGCCAGGAGCCCGGAGAGTCGCAGGTTGATGACGATGTACTTTAGCTTCAGCCGGCTATTTAGATATATTTTCTTTTGAGCTCCACTGTAGATTTTGCATTTGTTGTAAAATCTTTTACTTGCTTTGTACTACACCTGTTGTTGATTCCACTAGAGAGATAGTAATTGTGATGGTGAAACATGTTATTACACGGTGTGGTGCATGGCAGGTTTAACATTTCTGGTTTCACCTCGGACTGTAGCCTTGTGTGAACCCAGGGGCGTCACAGTTGGTATCAGAGCTCTAGTTCCAGTATCCTTAGGATCATCCTGTGTCGAGTCGTGGAGCTAGGTTAGAGTTTCTTAGGATTCATGTGTAGAGTCCGCTAAGGATTTCCTAGTATGAGTGAGGACGATATATGCGTATATCTCAAAATTTTGAGAAATTTTTTTTATGACAACTATTTTTGCTTAAAGTGTATGCGTGAATATTATGTAATGTGAAAATCATATTGTGATGTACTATGTATGAATAGAATATACGTCTACTTTGACTCATGAACTTTATTGTTTCTTATTATCAGAGAGATGGCAGGACGTGGGATACCTCGCACTCGAAGGGCCGCTCAGGCAGAGCCCCAGCAGGCCCCACCTGAGTCGCAGCAGGCTCCACCCGAGGAGGAGCAGGCACCACCAGAACCACAGCAGGCTCCTCAGTATTTGGTGGATATCATGGCTCCTCTTATTGCCAGGATGACAGCCATTGAGGAGTTGGTAACGACTCATATAGCACCATGGACACCACCACCACTGGTAGCTCAGCAGCAGGGGATACGAGCCGTCCCGATCAGAGAGAGAGACCCAGAGTTAGCACATACAGCTATTCCACTAGCGGTACCAGATAGAGCCATGGAGCAGGAAGCTTGGCTCCGTATGGTAGAGAGGTATCAGAAGATGAGGGCACCAGAGTTCCAGGGGTCACCAGACCCTCTTGCAGCACACAAGTGGAAGGAGGATGTGAGCAATATACTTAACATACTCAGTGTAGATTCGGTTCAGAAGCAGAGGTTGGCATCCTACAGTCTGAAGGGAGATGCCGGGAGATGGTACCGACTACAGTTTACTCCAGAGCAGAGGATGACCCTCACATGGGAGGATTTCATCTACTTCTTTGATGGGCAGTATATTTCTTCTGCAGCACGGACTGGGAAGGAGCTTGAGTTGTCCCGGATGACTCAGGGGGACATGACAGTGGCAGATTATGAGAGCCGGTTTATGGAGTTGCTGTATTTCACGGGTATATGGCAGACAGGAGAGCGTCAAGCTCAGATGTTCTTAGCAGGGCTACGCCCTAATCTCCGTCGGTACCTCGTCTCGAGGAGGTTCTATTCAGTTAGGGAGGTAGCTGAGGCCGCCATTTCATAGGAGATTGAGACTACTATGTTCCATAAGGACAAGGAAGTGAAGGCCAAGGCAGGACAGAGCGGGGACAAAGGTAAGAACAAGAGACCTTTGTCAGGACATCAGCATCAGTAGCAGCAGGGCCCTCATAAGAAGGGACCCCAGCAGGATCAGAGAGCGCATCAGCAGCGCAAGTTCCAGGGATCTTGTTTCAACTGTCGCAAGGTCGGGCACAAGGCATTAGAGTGTCGTAGTGCACCATCAGGAGCTCAGCAGGGCAGAGGCCCGAACCAGCAGCAGCAGCGATAGCAGGGCAGAGGTCAGGGTCAGCAGAACAGGCTTGAGGCACCGCCAGTGACGCAGAGGGCAGAGGGGCAGGTTCGAGCAGTCCAGGAGGCTCCCCTGGGGCAGATTGTT